CCCTGAGGACCGGGCAGCACTGGGCCTTACGTTCAACTTACTCCCAACTCCCAACTAACCCTCTTACTTAACGCAAGCTCGCATAAGTTGTTGCGTCAGAGACAAATGCCAAAGGAGAAGATACCCCCTCTAGCGGTTGAAATACTGAACCACCAAACGGCGCATCGCGCTGACCCGCAAGAGGGCCAGAGCTGCCAGACAGGCGCGCACACCGAAACTCCCGAAGCCAAACGCCTCGAAAGACCTCCAAACGACACCCCAGCAGCAGGGGCGGCCGACGCGCCACCTCTACGCAGGCAAAAGAGTGAACAAAGTAAACGCAAAGCGCCAACAGACTGACCCACCGCCACCGACGCGACGGATCACTCAACAGTTGCTGACGGACGCCCACTGAAGGAAGGGTCAATAGGAATCCAAAAAATGTGCCCGCTCAGGGGTGACCAAGCGGCCAAAACTAGGGGCTTTAACTGAAACACCGGCTCTGCAACAATGACCGCTCCACGAACCCAGGTCACCGACAGCAGAGAAAACGGACAAAGAAAAGACACAGACCTAATACGACAAACAACAAACACAAGGCCGCGAAATGGAGACACACGAACCCATTCAGCGCCAAAAGAAGTACTCGAACTTAGTCCAGAACCAGCGGTGTTGGAACCGGCGGTACCATCGGATATCAAACAAAGCGAAACCGCTCCGAAATCAGGGGAATTCCAGTCGCTGGTGACACAACACGATGAAAAAACCAACTACCTGCACGGTGCCTTCCGAGCGCACACCTTCGCACACCTTCACACAACAAATTCCTTCCTATTCGCTCGTCGTAACTGCGTGTCCGCTCCCCTGCACAATATGCAATTAAGGCGCTACCTCATTGAGGTCCCATTGCCCCCAGGGGGGGCATGAAATGCTAGGAAAGCGCACCTCGGGGGCACACGACCCCTCAATTGCAGCGCCACACTGACCGACCGAGTGCTAAGCAAAGCACCCACAAGACGACTGCACCCGCACTGCCAGACCTGCCAGGAAGGGGGGGAGATATGTGCTCGACCCTCCCTCATCCGGCACAAACAGCTCCGTATTCGAAGGCAGGAACACAAGGTCAACCGCCAACTCCATAAACTGTTGCCACCAAGGTTGGGCCGTCCAGTACGGCACGACATGGAAAGACACCCTAGCACTGCTTGAGTGCAAGTGTTTTCCACACTGATTAAGCCAACACGCTGCTGAAAGAACGGAAGAAAGGACTCTAATGCAGGATGGACAGCGTGCAACTCCTTCCAACTGACGTGCTCATAGAGCTCTGGTGCCGACCAATAACCGCGCGCCACACGATCATGCAGGACCGCGCCCCACGAATGGCGCGATGCATCAACTTCAGCAGGACCCTGGTGAATAGGCGCCGAGCACTGGTGGGTAGGGATGCCCGCCCACCACCCAAAGTCACGTAACAACCCACGGGGCAAGCACACTCGACCAGGATAACCAACCGGTTGCTTCACATCATCGTAACAATTGCGGAGAAATAAGAGAGCTGGAGTAAGGGCCAATTTGATGCTCTGTGCAAAACTACAAAACTTAGCCTGCACCAGACGCTGATTTTTCTTTGCCGTGATCCGCAACCCGATCGCCAGCCACCACAATTTTGCGAGCTTTTGCTTAGGCACCTCAAACACACCAGCTGCCGTATTGACAGTAATGCCTAAGTGATACACTGACTGCGACGGCTCCCACTGGCACTTGGTGGGATGACATGACAAACCCAAAAACTCGATCATCTCACGCACCCAGCATGCGCAAAAACGTGCTTGCTCCTGGGAAGTAAACATGATTAGGAAATCATCCAAATACGGTAGTACTCGCGCACCCGGACGTGAAGGACGCTCTGTCTGGGAAACGGGAAAAAACTTGTGGGCCGAGAGCAAGGGGCGAGGGACACTTGTGACCCTTGCCCGCCGCAGCCAAAGATTCCCTCCAAATACGCAGCACATTGTGCATGTACTGCTGAAGAGACGGTGTCTCTCTGGGACCTAGCAGACACGGCCAAGAGTAATTGGCCGTTACACGTAGTCGGGAGGTCCGCGACCTGCCACCGATAGCCCCTTGCTTGGGTGTAAACATATTGAGTCTGAGGTGCTGTTACCGACACACAGCAGGGGCTTTAAGGTAGCCTGTCCTGACGGGCGGCCTGTCAGTATTCTAGCACCTTGACAGCCGCCAGTCATAACAGCCTGACGTGGGGCCTTTCGCAGGCCACGGGGCGACACGGCACACCCCCTTCACACCAACATGCCCCCTCGAGTCGCACCAGGGGCCTGACTGCAAACTGCTAGTACTGATGAGCTCGCTCGGCCGCCAACTCCGTGTTCCAGGCCGGCTGCTCAACGCTCATCAGACACAATCGCAGCTTGCCAGCCTTCAGCCTGTTGGCTTTGCGGTCTGGTGCCGCAGTCCAAACACACACGGAAAACAGCACGGCACAGCACCTTATGCACTGCCTACGGGCATTAACCTGCCCATTCAGGCGCCTGCCCACGCGCCCTTGGTGCCCTCCTGCCTCGACACACTTCTAAGCCCTCAGCATTTTTCCACTCCCCCCTCGCATGGTGCTCTGTCGATCTAAGTGACGCCCAGCACCGTGCGGCAGTGCACGAACTTGATTTCACCCAGTGCCTTGGTGAGAATGTCAGCCACCGTGTTGTTGGTGGTACAATAGCTGAGCTTAACCTCACCGCGCACGGCCGTTTCACGCATGATGTGGTGGTGCACATCGATATGCTTGGAGCGCACCAACGTGATGGGGTTGTTGCCGAGGCTGAGCGCGCCTTGTGAATCCAGCTGGATGTTGATGGCGCCGGGTGACAGGTCCAGGTCGCCCGCCAGCTTGCGCAGCCACATAGTGCCTCGTGCACGGCTGCTGCGGCGGCCTGGTACTCGGCCTCGAGGCAGCCAAGGTGCGCTGCAACTGGCTGCTCCAGCTGACCGCTGCACTGCCGAGCAAGAATGTGTAGCCCGTGGTGGACCGGCGGGTGGCTGGGTCGCCGGCCCAGTCCGCATCACTGTACCCGCCGGAGTTGCTGGTGTCGCTGCTGCTGTCGCCACGGTACCGCAGCCCGAGTGTGCAGGTGCCGGATAGGTAGCGCATCATGCCCAGCACGAGGCCCATGTGGGCCTTGGTGGGGACGGGCATGTGTCACACGGGCATGCTCAGAGTGTGTGTAATGTCCGGGCGTGTGCTGGTGGCGAGGTATTTCAGCTCGCCCACCAGCACACGGTAGCCGCTGCCACCAATCACTGTCGGCTGGGCGTCGCTGGCTGGCAGAGCACACATGCCCTGAGGCAGCAGGGTGGCGCGCGACTTGGCATTCTCCAGTCTGTGGCGCTGCAGCAGCTGCTCCACATAGCGCTGCTGCGTGAGCACGATGCAGCAGTTGCGGCATCCTGGACGATCTTCATGCCGAGGTAGTAGTGCGCCTCGCCAAGGTCACGCACTGTGAAGCAACCGGCGATGGCTGCCTTGGTGGCCGCGACCACTTGCAGGTTGTCCGCCGTCACCAGCATGTCGTTGGCAGTGTGCTCTGCACTGTTGCCTCCGCCGCCGCCACTGCCATCGGGCACGTTAGACTTCGCGCTGTCAGCGCTACCACCTGAGCAGCGGTGGACTTCCCGACTCTCCGCCGCCGCCGCTGCTGCTGCTGTCAGGGGGGGGGGCCGTCACTGACCGGGGCCAGCGGGAGTGTGCAGGGACTGCCGTTGACTGCGGGTGTTGGGGTGGAGGGGTGGTGTTGGGGTCACCGGGGTGGGGTGGCCGCTGGGGTCGGCAGCTTGGTGGGCGGTGTAGAGCTGCCGATGGGGTCGCTGCCGCCGGGGCAGGCGGGGCTAGTGCCGAAGGGGGTGCCCGCCCGTTGTGAACCGGGCTGTGGCGGTTGTCATTGAAGGTGACGTCGCTGCTCACGGTCACCTTGCCCTCAATGAGGATGCTGTGGGCGGCCGTGCCGTGCTCCGGTCGGCGGTAGGTTTCCGCCTTTGCACGAGGACCGAGTTTGTCCTGCTGGCTGGGTGGGATAGGCCAGGCAGCTGAAGGTGTGGAGGTGGCTGACGTCGGGGGGGATGCTGTGATAAGCTGCCCACGGCGTGGCCTCCCGGACCTGAGAGGGGGAAACATTGCGGTTGGTGTAGAGCACAGCCTCCGGCCTGTAGCTGCCCGGGAGTGCTGCGTCGTGCAGCATCGTCCGCACACGGCCGAGGAGCATGTGGTTGAGTCACTCCACCGCTCCGTTCTGCTCCGGGGTGTATGATGCCGAGTGACTGTGCACGGTGCCGTGCTGGCGCAGCCACTGCCGCAGTTGCTCGGCGATGTACTCACCGCGTTTGTCGCTGTGCAGCATGTGCACCCGGGCATGGTTCAGGTGGTGGGCCTCCAGCTGCGTCACCATGTCCTGCAGCACTTCACCCACTTGGCTCTTGCTTGCCAGCGTGCGGACGGCGGACAGACTGGTGGCACCATCCAGCAGCATCAGCAAGTAGCATGCGCCCCCTCGGCCCATGGTCGGCATGGGCCCACACAGGTCAGAGTGTACGACCTCCAGTGCATGCTGCGGCCGGTTGCTGCGGCTGGGATGGGCGGTTACGGTGGCCTTCATGGTGACACAGGCCTCGCAGACGGTCTCCGCCGCCTGGTGTAGTGCTGCTGGAGTGACCTGTGGTCCCTGCACCAGCTACTTGCTGATCAGCTGCTCCAGCACGCGGTAACCGAGGTGACCGTACTGGCGGTGCAGGCGCTGTGCTGCCGCAAGTTCGGCGACTGAGCATTCGGCGGCCTCGGGGCTGCCGTTGCCTGGTTGCCCTTTGCCGTTGCTGTCACCGTCCGGCTGGCCTCCACCGGTGTGGCTGCCGGCGGTGCTGCCGCCACGGGTGCTGGGGACAGCAGCGGCACTTCCGCTAGCACTTCTAACTGCGGCCTGGCCCCCACCGGCTCTATCGCCCACGGTGCCGAGGGCATTGACGGTGACGTCGGTCGGGGCCTGCAGGTCCACGTCCATGCGTAGTGCCCACGCTCATTCCATGCAGTGATAGACGGGCTGTTGTGAGGGAGGCCGATGCATGAGAACCAGCAGCCTGTCTTGTCCGTGCTGAATGTGACTGAGCAGCTGCGTGTCACGAGAAGGTTGACAGATGTTAGGATGAGGCCCGAGCTGGGGACGTGCAGCATGTTGTGCAGCCGGACATTGTGTCCATCACGTGTACGCAGGTGCAGCTGCACTGTTCCCATGACATCGGCCAGCTGGTTGTTGCCCCACTCGATCAGCCGTGGCGCGCCGGCGGGGACGTGGTTGTGCAGCAGGGAGTGGTCACCCGTGAGGTGGTGCGGTGAGCCTGAGTCGAGGATGACTCGTGAGCTGCTGCCACTGCCGTCGATGACCAGCACTGTGGCACGGCTCTGGTGTGAGCTGCGTCTGCTGCTGTCCGAGCCGCTGCCACTGCTACCGCCTGCAGTGTCGCCACCGTTGCGGTGGCTCTTGCCGCATCGAGCATGGCCGCATTCGAGTGTTCCGTCGGCCCCGCTGTTACCACCATTGCCGCTGCCAGTGTCCCTGCCGCCGCCGTCATAGTGGCGGTTGCGGCTGCCTCAACTGATGTTGCCGGCGGCGTGCAGCTGCTCGAATGCGTTGCTGTGGTGAAGGCCGACGGACTCGTCCGCCTGCTTAACGGGGCACTCGCAGATGTAGTAACCAGGCTGTCCGCAGTAGCGGCAGGTGTCGCCGGCCCCCACGGCGCCTGCAGCACTGGCGGTGCTGTCGACTCCACTGGGGGCACGGCCAGGGCCGACAGCTCGCACCAGGCTGGTCTTGCTTGCTTGGGTCTTGAGGTTGTTGTCCTTCTCCCGCAGCATGAGCACGAGCTGTGGGGTCGTTAAGTTGGGCTGATACATCGTGAACTCGATGGTGATGGCGTACTGCGGAGGCAGGCCATGGAGAATGGCGTGGCGCACCGTGCTCTCGTCCCACGGGCCGCCGGCCACAATTATATCGCTATGGAGCTGCTCTGCCCGCTAAATGAAGTCAGCGGTTGTCTCCCCATCGCGCATGTTCAGCTGCATCTGCGGATCAACCAGGCTAAGCCGGGCCTGGGATGCAGAACGGGACTGTTGCTGTAAGAGCTGCATGGCGGCGAGACCGGTTGGGCAATTCATGAGCAACTGCTTGATGGGCAGTTCACAGGACAGACGCAGGTATCTGAGCGCCTGTGCGTCCTCCTCCAGGGCGTCTTGGGAGTTGCGGCTCGGAGGCGATGGGTTGTTGATGTAGCTCTTCAACTTGGACGTTGCGAGGAAATCGCCTAACTCGCCGAGCCAGTGGGAGTAGTTCGACCCATCCCAGAGGATGACGGTCTTACATCCCTTCCCCATGATGGTTGGCTAGCGATAGTGACTGATGAAGACGCGTTCCCCGCCGCTTTTCTGGCAACTAGTTGATGTTATGATGCATCGTTGGTCCGGCGTACGACGGCGCCTGGTGCGATTTATGCGTCCGGAAGCCCTTTCAGCCTCACAGGCATGTCCCCACCTGCCTCACAGCCGCCGACGCATCTCACGGCGGGGGTCTAATTGCGTGCGCGTATGGATGCTCCTATTCCTGCCGCCTTTCTAACAACTAGTTACTGTTATGATGCATCGTTGGTCCGGCGTACGACGGCGCCTGGTGCGATTTATGCGTCCGGAAGCCCTTTCAGCCTCACAGGCATGTCCCCACCTGCCTCACAGCCACCGACGCATCTCACGGCGGGGTTCTAACTGCGTGCGCGTATGGATGCTCCTATTCCTGCCGCC